TTTTAATATAACTCCGACTGGATTCGTCTGAAAGAAGAAAGTCATATACACCTAGGATGACTTGAGGGTGAGTAATTTATGGGCTAATTTTCATTTTTGGGTGAAGTAACCCTCTAATGAAATGCTGAATATCCAGTATACTTTACTGTACCGATCAAAAGTTTGTTTTTGAAAGAAGTCTCTCCTGCTCATCAAGGCTGCATTTATTTTATCAAAATTACAGTAAAAATTATGAGATATTATTACAATTTAAAACAGCTGTTTTCTATGTGAATATCTGTTAAACTGTAATTTATTCCTGTGATCAAAGCCGTATTTTCAGCATCATTACTCCAGTCTTCAGTGTCACATGATCTTCAGAAATCATTCTAATATGCTATGCCGGATTTGGACTGGACGTTCTCCTCGAACACGACGTTCTCCTCAGAGTCGGGCTGGGCGAAGCGGTACACCTCGGCCCCGGGGAGCCTCATCTGCTCCTCCTTCTCCTCCTGCAGCATGGCCGTGTCCAGCATGCGCTCCAACGTGGAGCGGTACTGCAGCGAGATCAGCGCCGCCATCCAGCCGTTCTTCTCCTCCACAGATTTAGCAGCAAACACCACGCTGTTCCCGTCCTTCAGGATGATCTCGAAGGCGTGCCGGTACTCGCCCTCCTTATCGTCCTTGTCGTTGATCTGGACCTGTTCAAGAACACGTGAGCGTTTAGAACGTTTACTTTGAATGTGATGTTTTGCCAGAATTTTTTTTTTGTTTGTTTTAAATCAAGGAAATATTAGAAATGTGACAACCAGGGCTGTCGATTTAATGTGTTAATTTGGTGCGATTAATTATGGAAAAAATAACATTAAAAGTCCGTCATCTTACATCGATGAACCGATCAACATGATGCAGGATGACTGACTGACTGAACGAATCAAGTTTTGAATGAATCAAGTTTTGAATGAATCAAGTGAGCGAATGATTCAGTGATTCATTAAAAAAAAAAAAAAAAGTCATTTGCTTCGTTTCTGAATGAATCAGCCGTTTGAACAAATCGATTGAATGAATGATTCAATTACTTACTTTTTTAATAAAAAATAATATCAAATTTCAATATTCAATTAAAAAAACTAATTAAATCAATGTTGAATCAAAATGTTTCCTTCTAAAGATACTTTTTGTAATGTCTATTCAAAGGTTTTCTCATCTAACACAATAATGACTTTAAATGTTCAGGGTGTAATTTCTCAGCCAAAATTAATGTGTGATTAATTAATTAGCAAATCATGTAATAAATTAGATTCAAAATGTTACAATTAGACATGCTGACAACAGTGTTGGGGAAAGTTATTTTTGAAAGTAATGCATTACAATACTGCGTTACCCCCTAAAAGAGTAACTAATTGCATTACTTCATTACTTTTTTAGAAAAGTAATGTGTTACAGTAGTTTTGCATCCCATCATAGTTTCTCATCTTGGCTGGCCTGATTTTTTGCTCTTTAGCCTGATTTCTCTCAACATGAGCACAGGAGAGCTGTCAGTCAATACATGAGGAAACAAAGTAACTGGCGTAACTTGTTTGAAAAAGTAAAAAAAGATATTTTTGTGTAAATTAAAAAGTAATGCATTATTTTACTAGTTACTTGAAAAAAGTAATCTGATTACATAACTCGAGTTACTTGTAATGCGTCACCCCCAACAATGCTGACAATACACCAATGATAACAGTTGATCGGAATAAAAATTAATCAAAACAAAAAAACAAGACCTACCAAAAATGACAAAAACACACCACAAAATTACTAAAACTTTAACTAAAATTAAAATGGAAAGACATAAAAATAATATGTAAACATACGTCAGGCGCATGTTTACATATAAAAGCAACGGAAAAGCAGAAAGCTGCGCAGAACTACTACTGTATGTCTGATGTTTGATATTTGTGCATGATGCTGACAGACTAAAGTCTGTTAATAATCATCTTGACTTTTTGAGTTGACCTCTAAAGCTAAATGTCTACATTTTGGCTCGGAAATATTTAGCATGTTTCTTATTTTATATTATTTATGAACATACAGGATATGTTTAAGACAATATTTGCCTTCATATTTCATGATTTTTTTTTTTTTTGCAAATATATTTAACAAATAATTAGTTTTTTGTTTATAAATAAAAATGATATGAGTCATTAAATCATTCATTTAACCGATTCGCTGAAACGGCTGATTCATTCAGAAACGAAGCAAGTGACTGTTGTTATGAATGAGTCACTGAATCATTCGCTCACTTGATTCATTCAAAGCTGTGGATTCATTCATTCAGTAGTCCTGCATCAGTTCATCATTGACGGGTGCGTTAAATGCATTAATCATATGATCATATTTTTTCAATAATTAATCGCACCAAATGAACGCGATTAAAAAAAAGCGAATGTTACTTGAATCGTGTTGTAGTGTCATTTTAAGTTGACTAGTTAAGATGTACAAAACAAAATCGAAAACATTTCCTGCCGTCTGCTCACCTTCCTCATGAAGAACTTCTCTTTGAGCCGGTACTCGGCGGCGCTGGCTCCCGGCAGACGCGGCTGGCCGTGGTTGGACTTGCAGCAGATCATGAGGCCGTCAAACAGGAAGATGTAGCGCTCGTGTTTGGCGCCGACCCGCGTGAGCGTCCCCTCCATGATGAACTCGTTGCAGCACTGGCCGATGTCTTTGCCCTCCCAGCCGTCGATGTTCCTCTGGATCTCATTCATCTTCTTGATGGCCAGATGTTTGCCCTTCATCTGCTGGCTGTAGAAGCGGCACGCCGACTCGCTGAGAGACACAGGACAGACGACGGCAGAAAAACAGGCCTGATGAGCTGAAACTCATTCTGAACTCCCAAGATCGATCCTTTAGTCTGTGCTGCTCTCAGTTGATTCCTGAACTCTACTAAACTTAATCTGTAGCTCCTGTAAGTTACTTCTGATTTGAGCTTACAGTTTCTCTCAGTTTTATCACTAAATGTGTTTTTGTCCCTCTGTAACGTGTGCTGTCAGATAACTGATCATCTCTTCCTCTTTACTACTAGTTATAGCACCAAATAAACATGAACGAGCATCAGAAGAACTCACTGAAATCAATCATGAATCATGTAATCGATCAATCAGTGTTTCAATCGCCGAAAGTCATCAATAAATCAGCTTGAGATCAATAAGGTCACGTAACATCATATTTATCTCAGAAAAGACATTCGGTGAACATAAACTTGCTATTTATGACTCTACAGTACAATAAAGCATTTTGATAAATATATGCACTGTATGACATATTCATTATATTTTACTTAAACTACTGTCTTTATTATTGAATGTATGTTTGAATAAATGTGCCATGAAAACAAGTTTTTACTACATACACTGGTTAAATGTTTGTTTCAACAACGAATTGGAGTAGAAACATAACTGTTATTTAAAAGTTGACTTAAAATCTGCCTTATGTACAATTAAAATGTTTGTATACAACTTTGAGTGTTGATTATTATAATTAAACAAAAACAAATAGCAATTTAATATTTGAATTTAATAGTCATTTAATAGGATATTTAATTAGACATTAATTAGTCATTTAACAGAATTTAATATTAACTCTGTTGTTAATTTTAACCCTTATTATATTAATGTACCAACTAATTGATTTTTATTTTAGTATAATTGAAATATTATTATAGTTTCTATTATTATAGTTAATATTTTAAATTCATTTTCATTTTAGTTGAAAACATTTTTTGTGTGTTTTTGTCATTTTTATTTATTTATTTTTTAATGTTTTCATACATTTTTACTTCAGTTTTAGTTATTTCAGTTCATCAAATTAAACTAAATGAAAATGATAAATGTAGTCTAGGCAACTAGCTGAAATTTATATATATATAATTATACATTATATATTTTATATACTTTTGAAACAGTATTTTATTTTATTTCAGTTAAAATTTGTTTTAAGTAATAAAACTGTTTTGTTATGGTTTTAGTTAGCTATAATAACACTATTTCAGAGATTGGTTTCCTAAAGAAAAATTGACATTTTCTGTCCCTAATTAATATATGTGCAAACGAATCAATATGAAATCGAGTCAGAATCAAAATCAAGGAGCTTGTGAATTGGAATCAAAATCTGTGTCAATACCCAGCAATAATACCCAGTGTGTGTGTGTGTGTGTGTGTGTGTGTGTGTGTGAGAGTGTCTGTGTGTGTGTGTGTGAGTGTGAGAGTGTGTGTGTGTGTGTGTGTGTGTGAGAGTGTCTGTGTGTGTGTGTGTGAGTGTGAGAGTGTGTGTGTGTGTGTGTGTGTGTGAGAGTGTCTGTGTGTGTGTGTGTGAGTGTGAGAGTGTGTGTGTGTGTGTGTGTGTGTGAGAGTGTCTGTGTGTGTGTGTGTGAGTGTGAGAGTGTGTGTGTGTGTGTGTGTGTGTGAGAGTGTCTGTGTGTGTGTGTGTGAGTGTGAGAGTGTGTGTGTGTGTGTGTGTGTGTGAGAGTGTCTGTGTGTGTGTGTGTGAGTGTGAGAGTGTGTGTGTGTGTGTGTGTGTGTGAGAGAGAGTGTACAGGTATATATGGTTTATGAGGACACAAATGTGTATAATGACATGGGTACTACAACGTAAACATGGTTTATGAGGACACTTCCTGTGTCCCCGTAAAACAAAAGGCTTAAAAAACATACAAAACGAGCTTATGAAATTCAAAAACTGGCAGCAGTTTCCTGTGAGGGGTAGGTTTTGTGTGTCTACAAAAAATACTGAAGGAAAACATGAGCATCTCTGAGTAAAGTGAGCAGTACTATGACTGTAGAGGATGAAGAAGGAAGGGGAGATGAATCAGGAGTCCTGGAGGTTCTTCTACACCACTAACCTTTACATAACCAGTTTACAGTGGCCAATCAGCTTTAGGATCAACAGCCCTCCAGGACCTGAAGGAGACACGCTTCTACAGGAGTCTGATTGTCTCTGGTGTTACGGATCACAGGACGGGGACGAGGGAGGAGCTAGTTAAAGACATCTTACTTCTGAGTGTGTTTGTGGACGGAGGAGTGCTGAGACCGCAGACTGCCCCTCCTCATGACAGCGTCTCACTGAAGAGCGCCACACGCTGGAGCAGAGCCACACCGCACTATTACACTAGTATTACACTATTACACACCAGCTACAGGAACAGCTCACCTAAAAATAAACATGTGCTGAAAATGTGCTCACCCTCAGTTCATCTGAGATCAGGATGAGTTTGTTTCTTCATCAGATTTGGAGAAATGTAGCATTGCATCACCAATGGATGTGAATGGGTGCCGTCAGAATGAGAGTCCAAACAGCTGATAAAAACATTAAACATT